CTTCACTTCATTTATGATTTCATCCATTATGATATTAAACAGAATTGGGCTTAAGCTATCTCCTTGTCTGATTCCGGTTGTCACAGCTATTTTTCTGCTTAGTTTATTGGCCGCTCTTACATATGTGTGGTTCTCGGTATTTAGCTCTACGATTGCTTTTATTATATTCGAGTAAATTTTCCTTTTTTGCAGTAGGGTTACGACATCAGTTTATTGGAATCTATCGAATGCATAAAAGCATAAAAGCTGTCTTATTAAACTCTATGGCTTTTTTGGTTATTTGGCGGATGATAAATATGGCATCTATTGCAGACCTGTTATTTCTAAATCCTTGTTGCTCTTCACAAATTCCGGTTGACAATACTTCTTCTGCTAAAATTTTTGTAAAAAGTTTTTGTACGGCACTCATCAAGCTGATACCCCGATAGTTTCGTAGATCTGCTTTTTCGCCTTTTTTAAAAATTGGTATCAAGATGCTATCTTTCCATTCGGATGGTATATTCTGTATATTCTGGTCTGTAAGTATTTTGTTAAAGAGAATCTGAAAGTCAGCTAGTAATGTATCACCTCCATATTTGATCATGTATCTTTTAGCAAAATAATCCTTTAAATTCCACTGAAATGTGTAAGAGTTAATTCAAAGACGGCTATATTTTCTTAAGAGCGTACATGTACTGTATGATGGAAAATAACGGCATCCAGTTGGCTTCGAAATGACGATCGTTGATATTTTCCATATAATTTTATATATAAAATGATAGCGATCTTCATTTCATAGCCATCGCTGACGCCGTTTTTTTTCCATCATATGGTACATTATGTTATATATTGTAATTGTTTTAACACCTGTTGGTTTTTAGTAGTTTATCATAGTCATTCTTGACATACATTATGATGTCGAATTTAACAACCGAGAATAAAATTCGTCAGAAGTTGGTCCCTTTCAGTCGGTGCATTATGTTTGAAATATAAAACCAAAACTTTCAGAACAAGTATAAAATCGGGTCAAGGTGTATGCATAAAAAAATAAAACTGTTCTAGAGTTTTAATTTAAAAAATGGCATCTTAAAAATCTATTAAATTATGCAGCCAAATAAATACCTATTTCCTATGTTGTTTCAGAGTAAGAATAAATGTAATAAAATACATTTTAGCGATCTTTAAAAAAATCTGATATCCATCTCGTTATCACAAGAACATAAACAGAGTTGTCAAATGATAGATGTCAAACGAACAGCGATTTTGACAATAGTCGAAACTGGTCACTAATAAACAATTTTATGGTAGTTTGACATTGGTTGTTATTGATCACGCACATTTAAGTTGTATTGCAGTTAAAAAGAAAGATGAACAATTAGAAAAATTTTGCACTTTTACATTAAAATTGGGAATTACCTAACCCAAGCAGCATTTGGACGTCGGGACAACGTTGTGTCACGCGACCAAACGTCGGGGCGCAACGTCGGCACAACCTCGTGCCAACCCTAGTCTGCACCATAAAATAATTAACTAGAAAGAAGTGTCAACTCTGTGTTAAATCGTGGAAACACGATACGCCACCGAAAGCCTTCGTTGTCGTCTGGAGAACTAACTTTCCAATTGACAGGTTGACATGATAAGGACATGATGGCTAAATTTTCAGAAATACAAAACTAATATGGCGTCTAAGTCGCGTTTTATCCTAAATTGGGATAATTATAGTAAAAATATTATTTTTAGGATTTAGTTAGAGACATATGCCAGATGGCAGTGAAGGAAAACAAAACAAAAGTATTTAAGTGTGGAGGATGTTTGAAGATCATAATTATTGAAACACTTTAACCGACTCTGTAACTCGTTACCCAAGGCAAAAAAGTTAAACGCAAACAACTTTATTGATAAATGTATTGTTTCTACTTTGAAAAATACTAATGGGCCTTAAAATTAAAGAAGTTTTAAAAATTTTCTTGAATTTTTTTTTTAGCAAAATGAGAATAATTTATTCGCAGTCGAAAAAATTGTTTCCGCGTGTTTTTTAGGGTCAAATATTTCAAGTTAATGGATTCAAAAAGAAGGAATTGCTATTTTAGGAACGAAACATTTTCTTATTTAACAACATGGCGGCTTTCACTTTGTTGTTTTGGAGATTAAGATGAAGTAGTTCGAGTAGTCGCATACTGGACTAATAAAGTCGCAGTTCGGCCCTAACAGGTAGTATACTAGTCGCAAGATTGCCTAATTTAGTCATCCTAGAGTCTAGCTTGTGCCGCCCTCTATAATCTAAATAAACGAGGGAGTGGATAAACTATCGGTAATATATGTCGATGTATATTTAAATTTAGTTTTATATGTACCTTTCTTATGTCCCATTTAAATTAAGTTTTTTTTTATAAAAACAAAAACAGCACTGAACTGTCTGACTGAACAGAACAATGAAGTGAAAATTTAAGATTTAAGGTTATGGTTCAATACAGTTGCAAAAAGGTAGTGGCTCGACGTCCTACCAACGTAAGAATAAGGAAATCTAAACAACGTTGGAATTAGTAAAACAGACGACGTTTGTATAACGTTGGAATAGGTCCTGAAACTGACGTCGAAAAACTCTATATTGTCCAACGTTGTAACTACGTTGTCCGAATCACCTAAAGATCACTTAAGCAAATAAGGTTAGAAGACAACGTTTATTCGACGTCGCAGAAGCTTCTACTTTGCTGTAGTACTAGTCCAACGTCGGCACAACGTTATAAAAACGTTTAAATTTATTTTAATACCCAAGGTAGGGAGCTAACTATTTTTTGTACCTAATCCAACGTCGTATTTAGTAAACATGTGGTCGCAAGTCGTGAAAATCCTACTTGGGAAATTGCGTCTTATTTATTAGAAGCTAAATTACATAAATTAATAACATAATTTTTTTACTGCATGATGTCTAGTAGTATAGTAACTACAAAAAATCAGAGTCTGTAGATGGTGTACTTAAGTAATATACGAAGTAATTTTCATTCATGTCAAAAACATGTTAATTTGTCAAAAATAAACTTTAATACGACAATATCGAAATTTTATTTTAAAGAAGTTATTAAAACAACATATATTTAAATGAAGATGTGCCAAAATTAAATATATTGCAAAAATTAAGTAATAAAAATATTTAATTACCTGTTACTCTGCACAAGTATTTGTTATTATTAGTAAAGCAATTAGAAATATTCCAAAACGGCTAAATTTATACCGGGTGCGTCTCAAAAGTGGCTCATCCCTATAACTTTTTTTATTTTTTCAGATAAAAAAACAAGATTTGGTAAAGTACGTCTGCTGGATCTGTGTCTATGAAAGGAATGCGGACAAAGAACATTTAAATAAACAATATATTTTATACGTCGACTTGACGAGTACGTCACCGCAAATCGCTCCACCCACTCATTTTATTGGCCACTTGGAAATTTGTCGCATTTTTATTGATGGGACGCGTCGTCTATTTTTTTACGAAAAATATCGAGAGAATATCGTTTCCCCTCTCACGGATACCCCGTAGCTACAGAACGGATAGACGTACTGTATTTTGGTATATGACATAAATTAGGATTGATTGACGTATTTAATTTTTACTTCTTGTTTCACCGGAAATGCCTACAACTTTTGATTCTTAAATAGCACCCGCGGTATATTTCTACTTTATTCGATAGAAAATTGCACTCTGAATAGAATGACATATCGTATGTCAACTTTTGACATTTTCGCTTATTATGGTTTATTTGAAATTATAACATGCGGTTCATAACGACAATTTGACTCGAAATATCAAATGTGTGGTACCAAATTATTCGTAAAAAAATGCTTTTTCCAAATATGCTAATGAGCGACCCTTGTCCCATTTGAAGAAATTGAGATATGATTAAAAATACGATTTGGGCATCTTTTAACCGGCCAAGACAAGACACGAAAAACATTAAACGATTAAATCCATTTTTCCAAAGCTCCTTGATTAAAAATTAGTGCTTTAACACAGCCATGACATTCTAGATTGCAATTTAACAAACGATTTTTTTAAGCGAAAATGTCAAAAGTTGACATGTAATATGTTATTTTATTCTATTCAGAGGGTCATTTTCCATCGAATAAAGTAGAAATATACGGAGAGTGCCATGTAAAAATCAAAAGTTGTATTCATTTCCGGTAAAACAGGAAGTTACTAAAAACAATTGAATACGCCAATCAATCCTAATTTGTACCCTATACTAACATATCAAGTTTGTTTTTTTATCTGAAGAAAAGTTATAAGGGTGAGCCACTTTCGAGACCCACCCGGTAAAATGCAATATACAAAATATGTTTAGAATATTATGTAGGTTAAAAAAACCTAAACCAGAGTTTACTATATCAGCTATACAAGATGGCCCATTAATGCGGGTATTCGAGTATCGTCGATGTTGACAAAGATATAAAAAAAAGCTTAATATACATTTTTTAAATCATATAGAAATATTTTGTGGTATACGGGATATCTCCAAAAAAAAATAATGAAGTTAGACATAAGTATTTCTAAATTACAACCCCCGTTTATTCTTTACATAATAGGATTCAACATAAAATTTTAGATTACAAGGAATTACATTCTAAAGAGTATATATTTATTCGAAAAATGCCTAAGCCCAAACAATTTCCGGATACATTTTCACTGATCACTACTGCATTTTAAGTTATATAAAAAGAATTACTCCGTTAGATCCTGCTTAATTAAATTAGCCCTTGGACCAAATAATAACAAGAAACAAGAATTAAAACAACGACAGACATCCCAGTTCACATCGGCGACCTTAACATTAGCCGGTGTCCTTATTTCGGCCGCCGCACTTGAAAATCTCGATCTGGGACTTGCTCGTATTATCTGTTAAAGTTCGATGAAGGAACACATAACGAACATAGCAATTGAATTATTGCCCAATAATCAGGCTTGTACCGAAAAACTGGTTCGTATTTTGGCCCCGCACCATTTACTCCCCCGGTATTGTTTTCATGGGTATAAAATGCAGGCGTGGTCCTCATTCAAGTATCAGTTGATCATCAACCATCGAAATACAGTTCTTCGGTCCTTTTTTGAGGTCTTTTCAAGAAACAACAACACTTAAAATGGCATCCAAAGTAAGTTTGATTATTTTACCACTAACAGGGTTAAATTTAGCTAAAAAATATGAAAAGTTTTTAATTTTATACGACATTTTAATGAAATTTGTTATCATAGTACAGTGTTTTATTAGGAGTAAAAATTATACTTTTTGTGGCAAGGCTGTACGTTTGACACATACAGACGTGGCACAAAAAGTCATTTTTACACCGAATAGAACATGCTATTTTTATTAAACGCCACAAATAATTTTTAAGCAATTTCAATCCTTCCAAAGTTAAGAATGTTAAGAAAAACTTATTAACTACACTTTTTTAATGAAACACCCTGTATGTTTTCATTTTTGTTTTAATTTTTTTCTCCCGATATAAATATGTATAGGTATAGTTTGTCCATAATTGCGTTAACAGCTTTTAAATTATTTTGGTTTAGTCAATGCAACCCGCTACCATACAAAACGCATAATGTGCCTTGGACACCATATAAAATAATATTTATTTATCTATCTTTTATACCGGTTGCGTCTAAAAAGTGGCACACCTCTATTACTTTTTCTTTTTTCAGATAAAAAACGAGATTTTGTATGTTAGTATATGACATAAATTAGGATTGATTGACGTATTCAATTGTTGTTGGTCCACGTTAAATGGCACCCTCGGTATTTTTTTTACTTTATTCAATAGAAAATGACACTCTGAATAGAATGACATGTCATATGTCAACTTTTGACATACTCGCTAAAAAAATTGTATTTTAAATTTCAATCTAGAGTGTCATGGTTGTGTTTTCAATTTGTGAAACACTAATTTTTAATCAAGGAGTCTTGGAAAAATATATTTGATCGTCCAAAGTTTTTCGTGTCTTGTCCTGACCAGTTAAAAGATGCCCCAATCGTATTTTTTTAGTTGCATTTCTATTTGTGCATTACAATGTAATGCATAACTAAAGATTACATTTATGAAATTGTGTTTGAAACAGCTCTAAGTACGGTATGTTCCACTTTATTTAAGTAACTAATATTGACAATAGCCCTAAATTTAATTAGCTTAAACTGAACCAAAAGGTAATATAATTCATTTAAGAATTTTTCTTTATCCAAAAAAATTGAACACTATGGTTTCTTATTTTCAGAGTTCATTTCAAAGATTGTATATGCTGAAAAACCGTAAATAAACTAGTAATATTTTAAGTTCAAGTTTTCCAAAAAGCTGTTTTATTAATATCAACTTGACACCATTTTTTTCAATCATAGGTATAACATAAATGTAATAGTCCTTATTACACATTGAATATTACCAACAACTTTATGTTTTGTACTAGTTTTCATTATTTTTTATCATAAAACATATTTTTAAATTTTCTTCTCGCATTAAAAATGTTCAAAAAAATAGAGTAATCAATTTTTTTAGACGGTAATAACTAATATTCTTTTACTTTATTGGGAACTTTTACTTTATTATATTTTATAGCAACTTCGTATTCAACTCAAAGAACGCAAACTAAATATAGATTAACTAGTAAACACATAAATGTATATATTTTACTTTTTAAATCAGTAACTGTCTGTTGTTTTTCTCCCCGTGCAGCTAATGTGTAAACACTACTTTTTAAAGCGATTAATGCTAATTAGTGATTGTTCTTTAAAAACATTGAACTATGCATGAAAACAAATAAATTGCAAGAAAATTAACTACAAACTAAAAACGTAAATTAACCAGTTTCTTTAATATAAGGGTCTTTGCTATTTATTGTGTTAATATTCCAATAATTAAAAATATGTTTAAATACATCTATAGACTTAACTAATACATACACATATTAAATTTTAAGTGTGTTTCGAACGTAAATTTCAAGGAAAAATATAGTCTTTATTTAAAGTATATAGTCAATCATCGAAGTTAAGTTTCTTTTAAATTTTCTCGTATATTTTAAAAAACTTTTTAGAACTGCCTATTCACCGTAAATTGACTAAATTGTCCCACGGTATAATTTGGTAATCTCTGATATTAACATGGATACGCCACTAAAAGGGATGCAAATACAGAAAAAATCCAGTGGCTCTCTATTAAAAATAAATATATTTTTTTTTTAATTTTCATACTTGAATAACTCAGTTATTTTCAGGTTATTGAAAAACAGTAAAGAGAAAATATTGTTTCTTTTATCGAGATATACCAGCCCTGAAAATATTTTCACTTATTTAAGACACACCCTGTACAGAATTGTTACTAATCATAGACTATATTATTTATTAATAGTATTATTAGTATTATAATATTTATATCATATACCAGGTGCGTCTCAAAAGTGGCTCGCCCCTATAACTTTTTTATTTTTTCAGATAAAGAAACGAAATTTGGTATAGTATGGTCAGTATTTGACATAAATTAGAACTGACTGACGCATTCATTTGTTTTTGTTCACTTCCTGTTTCACCGGAAATGACTAGAACTTTTAGTTTTTAAATAGCACTAGATTTTTTAATGTCATTCTGAATAGAATGACATGTCATATGTCAACTTTTGACATTTTGGCTTTAAAAAATATTATTTTAAATTCCAATCTAGAGTATCATGGCTGTGTTAAAAACAATTCTTAATCAAGGAGCCTTGGAAAAATATATTTGATCGTCTAATGTTTTTACTGTCTTGTCCTGGCCAGTTAGAAAATGCTCGTAAATCGTATCTCAATTTTTTCAAATGGAATGAGGGTGGCTCATTAGTAGGTATATTTGGAAAAAGCATTTTTTACGAATAATTTGGGACCACACACTTGGTATTTCGAGTCAAATTGACGTTATGAACCGCATGTTGCAATTTCAAATAAACCATATGAGAAAATGTCAAAAGTTGACATATGATATGTCATTCTATTCAGAGTATCATTTTCTATCGAATTAAGTAAAAAATACCGAGGATGCCATTTAAAACACATAAAATACATTTAAAAATCAAAAGTTGTAGTTATTTCCGGTGAAACAGGAAGTGATCGAAAACAATTGAATACGTCAATCAATCCTAATTTATGTCATATACTAACATACCAAATCTCGTTTTTTTATCCGAAAAAAATAAAAATTTATAGGAGTGAGCCACTTTTGAGACGCACCTGGTATGCCATAATGTAGAATAATATATATTTTTAGAATATTCATTTACTTATAACAAATTCCTTTTAATTTCTAGTTCTTGATCTTATGCGCCACTTTGGCTTATGCCAACGCTGGATTCCTAGCTCCGGCTCTCAGCTACAATGCCGGCCCAGCACTAGCTTACAGTGCCCCAGCTGCATACCCACTATCATATTCCGCGCCCGCCATCACCTCCCAATCTTCCAACATCTACCGCAGTGCAGGAAATCTTGGTCAAATCTCCACTTACTCCAAGTCCATCGATACTCCATTCTCCAGTGTTAGGAAAGCCGACGTCAGAATCTCCAACCCCGGATTGAAGGTTGCCTCTGGACCAATTTTGGCTTACAACGCACCTGCTGCTTATGCTGCACCAGCCGCTTATGCTGCACCAGCCGCTTATGCTGCACCAGCCGCTTATGCTGCTCAAGCAGCATATGCCGCTCCAGCTCCTTATGCTGCGCACGCTCCTCTTTTGGGAGTAGCTTACTCAGCTGCGCCAGCTGTTGCCCACGTTACCTTCGATTCTGGTTTAGCCCACTACGCTTGGTAGAAACTGACTGTTTTTTTTTGACTGTTGTTAATTTAAATATGGACTGTATTTATTTTTATTTATTTAATAAAACATATCTGAAAATCCTGGATTTTTAATATAATCTCATAATTCCTATCTAATAATTCCTCGACAAATGAAAATGTCTATACATCGCAAAAGAAAAAATATTGTAATATTATTGTTATTCTATAACTTATCGAAAACTGAGTGCCATAGAGTTTTTCACGTAAAAATAATGTTTTTTTACCTTATTTATGAAAATAAGTATAAAGTATATTGTATTTTAGAAAGCTCATAACAGAGCAAATAAAATAAAAAAAATATACAAGTTGTTTGAAAAAACATGTGCCATCTCTCGTGGATAAATTCCTCACGTAAAAATAAGATTTATTTTTCGTATCAACATAGATCCGATTCTGTTTTGTTTCGTAGCTAGAGGGTGTTAAAGTTTTAATAATCTTTCGATTTATTATATTTTTTTCCAAGTACTTTTAGTGATATAATATAATGAAATTAATGAATAAATAATGAAATTTTGAAGGTAAACGTTTCTAGAAGTGCCACATATTTTAATGCTAAAAAAGTGCCGATAAATTCACCAAGGCAGTGCATATGGGTTATCACTGGAAGATTTAAAAAAAAGGCATGTACGCCACTGACTTTTTTCTTTTATATCATAATTATGTACGCCGTTTAATGCCAATTAAAAGTTATGTCTTGATATTGTGTCGAATTGATATCGAAATGATATAAACCCAATTTTATTAAGCACAATTAATAAAATAAAAATAAAATTAAAAAAATGTATATTTTACCTAATTATTTATTAAATATTATTACTATTAGTTATTATTACTATTAATCCAACCTACAGCAATTTCAAATAAAAAAATAATGGTATTTAAGATAATAACAAAAAACCTAATTTTAGTAAGTTTTAACATCCTGTAACTATAAAACTATGCATTTCCATATCCGTGTTTATAGGAACTTTTTTTCATATTTTTTGATGAGGAATAAATGAGTACTTATTTAAAACGCTAAAAATACGTGAAAGAAAATTATAATAAATCGAAAAAATATTAAGACTTAACACCCTGCAACTACGAAACAAAGCAGAATCGGACCTATGTTGATATGAAAAATAAATCTTATTTTTACGTGAGGAATCTCCCCACGAGAGATGGCACATGTTTTTTGTTTTTTTTTGTTTTCTTTGAAACACCCTGTATCTGTATACCGGGTTTCCCATTTAAAACAACATAAGTTTGGGTCATACTTCCCAGCGAAAATCTATTTGCGCCTCTGGATTCTACGTGAAAAACTCTATAAGGCTCAGTGTTTACCTTTTCGATAAGTTATGAGATAATTGAGATACAAAGGGGTTCAAAAAATGCAAACTCTTCAAATTCGTCCTGTATTTCAGAAACTAAGAGGGTTGGGGAACATCTGTGTGTAGCATCTTTAGTTGTATAAAAACGTAGCAAAATAATGTAAAAACCGCATCTTGGTACCTCTACGCATAAGCCAGAAACCCTGTAAAACACACGAAGATGGGACATTGGACACCCAGTATTTCTATATTTTTTTAAAATTTTTATAATGAAAAATACTTTTTAGTATGTGACAGAAAATGAGTTTTGTTTTATAAGGGTAAAGTCAAAACTTGCTTGATCTTAAAGGTTTTTGATTTTAAGGTACAGAATGATTACGATGACAGATGACAGACAAATACAATTCTAATAGGAAGTTATCAGATGTTATTTATTTTTTTAACTGTTAAAGCTCAGTTGTTAATCTTCCAAAACGAGTAAGTATAATTAATATTGATCGACTTTTACTAAAAATAACAAACTGCCTCTTTATACCAATTAATAATCAACTTACCAATAGATATCAGTAGTCGTAGACAATGGACTAAAAAGTGATAGCTTTGATTGATACCGTCTTGAATATCGGAGAAATTAATATTTTATTATGATACGTTACACAAATATGTGTGCGGAAAATGAACTGTGGAATGTTGTTTATGTTTTACGAGTTCCTCAACATAAACACCATTATCCAGTTTTTTTTAAGAATATCTTAGTAGCAGTTTAGGGGTTATCTCATAATTAACCTTTCGTAAAATAACAGGTAAGCAAATAAATAAATACATACAACATACACAGAAATACAATGATGCAGAAAATCAAAAGCAACAAGGGTCAATATACCCGATGCTCATTCGGAAATGATTTGAATTCACTTTGAATTAGTATAGACTTTGGCAAAAGTGCATACCGAAGAAGTCTAAGCTTAGCATTTTTGCGACTATAGTAAAAGCTCAGAGATGCAGAGACAACACACGACTTTATATGAGAGATGATACACTATGCGTTTTTGCCGTAGCATCGGAGCTTTGTATAGTTTATTAGTTTACATGGTTGGATGCCGATGCCCTTAAAAATGCATGCGTTTCTGCTGCAGCCTCAAAAATGTGTAGTGTAACACCAGGATAAAAGCTAGGAATAGTATCAACACAGTCTAAAGATTTGGAATATTTAGAGGGTGGTATAAATGTCGACAAAGATCGTTCTGCAAAAATATTTTCAATCGCCGATATTGAATCTGTAAAAAGAGATTAAGTACCATGCAATAGATTAAGTGCCATGCAACAAACGGCCAAATCAAATCAAAAACAAAACAGATATTCTCTCGTTCTCAACAAAACAGCAACTAGAGATTCCTAAATGAGTTTTTCGAGATCTTGGGTCACCGGCAATTATTTACGTCGACAAATGCAGAACAAATTCAATAAATGAACAAAATGCACAAAAATTCAATAATATACAGTAACAATGGAGGTTTTTGAAATGAAACATCAAAAATCTATAAAAAAAATATTTTTTTAATAAAAAGCTTTATTAGTATCCTTCTTATTTGATAAATTAATAGACAAATTTGAAGGCAAATCTGCATATAATTATCTACATAATGTACCCTATGATATGATCGAAAAAATGGCGTTAAGTTGGTTTGTATGTGACAATAGATAAAATTCTCCATATAGCAGATTTCTTTGCTAAAATTTTTGAAATACTTTAAATATAAAAAATTTACATTTTTTATAATTAAAGTATTACGTATTTTATAATTAAAGTATGTTTCCCGCTATCAAATAAATAATATACGGGGTATTCCATTTGAAAGAACGATAAAAATTTATTTTATATTTTAGAAAGTTTAGCATCGAATTTTGTACACCCCGTATGGTTTAAGATTACGATATTTATAGCAAAATGAGTACAAACCAACTATAGTATTATCCATGGGTATTATCCTTATTATCTAGTATAGTTTTAATTTCAGGACTTTTTTGTATCTCCAATAATTTTTATAAGAAGGGCTGAAAAAATATATTTTTTTTATTTATTTTTCTCTCTGAATATCTTAGGATTATGTAAGGTGATCAGTAAGGAAGCCAAAAATGCAATAGTATACAGGGTGTTCCATTTTAAAAAAATCATTCGATCCACTCACACTTTTTTGAACCAACCTGTAAAAGTTATTTATCCGTAGAATATTTTCCTAAAATACATGGTATAACGTGGACCATGAACATTAGGTTTGCACTTTGCATTTAAGCATTCTATTAAGTATTCTATTAATTGGTGAATGCACAGTGCATTCACCAACTAATAGAATCATATCAATTCTTTCTGATGTAGGATAAGTTTGCCTTTTCGGGAAATTTCTGAGAAATTTTTTTGTTTTAACTGACACAAAATGATAACTAGTTCTGAAAAGTTGGACTAATTAGACAGCTATGTTGAAGTAACGTTAGACATATTATCACAGCCACCTAGATTTTATCAAATAATAAAGATCTACTCAGATCAATTCATGTAAATGAAAAATCTTTGAGGGGTAGGCAACATTAAAAGTATTTTGAAGAAACATGAATTCTCCATTGAATATCGAAATAATATACTGGGTGTTCCATTTAAAATAAGAGAATACCATGCTTTTAAAGGTGACCAATGTTCAATATTAATTTTGTCTCACCCTGTATAACTCTTTGGATCAAGTTTTAATTTGATTTAAAGTACAATAGTTAATTTAACTATATATTAGGCTATACCGGGTAAATTCCAATTTAGGTAGCTTTTATTGTAATAATTATAAATTGTTCTTTATTTCTAGAAAATGTTATATAATATGTCAAAAACCTTACATTTTAGTCATATACTTCTCTTATAGAACTCACCTTTATTTTTCCCCCAGAATCCAAAAATCAATTAATATATAGGGTGTTCCATAACAAAAAACACAACTTTGATATGTAACTTTTTTTGGACACAGCCTGTAGAACTCTCTATATTTTTAAAAAGTGCTCTGAATTAACCTACTTATGCTCACAAAATTTCATTTCATACAAACTGCCGTTCTCCTTGGAGCCTCAGCGTATGAGAGGCGCCACCCTGTAGATACATTTTTATAAGCACCCAGTATAGTATTTAATTTTAATGACAATACAAATATAGTAGTGAGTATCACAGATCTAACATATCAGCGATCTGAGGGGGGTTATGTTGGAACTGTGATAAAAGGCAACAGCAAAGACCAGCACAACAGCAAAGCATACCACCAAAGTAACGAAATAAAACGCCTGTATTTTTACTTAGGTTCTAGGTTACAGCACATAATATCTAGCTATCTTGCGTAGCTAGATATTCTGTGGTTACAGGTTTTTATGTTCAAGCGGTGATTACCTATGTGTTTTGGTTTGGTTTGGTTTGGTTGCGAACTAAGTTCTATATTTATGCTGCGATGGACGTTTTTGCATAAAAATATATGCATTTCTACTTCATTATTTAGCTAGTATTTTTGCTGTTATCTTTTATAACAACTCAAACATAATTATCTAAAAATATTCTAAACTATGAGTAGTTTAGAATGAGCGGGTTGAAAATCTTTCTGGCAGTACGGTTATTTCAAAAATATACTTTTCTACTACCATCTACTACTAGAAGTAATAGAGATCAATAAATATCCTTACCAATAATAATTAGAAATATATACATCTCTAAATCGAAA